TTAGGTGTCTGTGAAGAAAGTAACATTAACATTGTTTCATTAGGTGTCTGTGAGAAAGTAACAATAACATTGTTTTCATTAGGTGTCTGTGAAGAAAGTAACAATAACATTGTTTTCATTAGGTGTCTGTGAAGAAAGTAACAATAACATTGTTTTCATTAGGTGTCTGTGAAGATAACCCATGTGGAAAGTATGGAGAATGTTTTCCTAAAAATACAAACAATTTCTACTGCGAGTAAGTTACAATGGAGTGGAATTTATGTTTTCTTGTAAAGATATAACTATTGATAAAAAGCAATGGATATATTTATTTAATAAATTTTAAAATATCTGTGTCAAACAGATTGATGGCGAGTGTTATATTCTTAAATTAGTTTCTCCACTGCTTATAGATAGACCACAAGGTTACTGGTTTTACTATTTTTCAGAATATATATATCATGTTACCTGACTGTTCAGGAATTATTGGATTTTACATCTGTTTGTCCCTGGCTTCTGAATAGATCATGTTACCTGACTGTTCAGGAATTATTGGATTTTACATCTGTTTGTCCCTAGCTTCTGAATAGATCATGTTACCTGACTGTTCAGGAATTATTGGATTTTACATCTGTTTGTCTCTGGCCTTTGAATAGATCATGTTACCTGACTGTTCAAGAATTATTGGATTTTACATCTGTTTGTCTCTGGCTTTTGAATAGATCATGTTACCTGACTGTTCAGGAATTATTGGATTGTACATCTGTTTGTTCCTGGCTTTTGAATAGATCATGTTACCTGACTGTTCAAGAATTATTGGATTTTACATCTGTTTGTCCCTGGCTTATGAATAGATCACGTTACCGGACTGTTCAGGAATTATTGGATTTTGTACTTGTTTGTCCCTGGCTTATGAATAGATCATGTGACATGATCTTTCATTTGATCATGTATATATCTTGTCTCCTGTTTATTTTTCATGAGTTTATTGACATCAGTTTCCCATAGTTTAACATAGATCACATTATCTGATTTATCAGGACCTAATATTTTCTCATACTACTTTTAAAATTGTTTAAATAACTTATGTTGCTGGATTTTTAAGGAGTTTATTGCCTTTACATATGTTTTTATATTATTTAGAAATAAATCTTATTAACCTGGTCAGAAGTATATTGGTTTTTACCACATTTTGTACGTGTTCATAAATAGCAGTCGTTTTCTTCTTTGTCCATTATTAATGAGTATATAATGTTACGTAAAATTCCCTGATTAATTTTATATTTGAGCTCAATTTTGTTCGTTATTACACATAGTTCAAATTGCCTAGAAATTTTCATGAGTATATTGGGATTTAGATCAGTAATTTCATCGTTCCTAATAGGATCATGTTACCTGGTATCTTGAAAGTTTATTGATTCTTGGATAATGTTTTTAGTTATGTTATGTGGTTTACTACCACAATTTGTTCATTGTTTTTACATATATTGTCTCTTTCCTCAATAGTTTATTGTTTTCTTCATCAGTGTGTCAACTGTATATAATGGGATCATGATACCTGTGTTACGTCTCTGTTCGTTTGTTAATTTCCCGTATAATTTCTTTCCGATGTAACTTTAGCAATACAAGTCCTTTCTTAATTAAAACTAGTTTATTATCTCGATACAACTTTATAATACACAGAATTTCCACTGTCACTTTTACTTAAACACACGTTTTAATTCACAACGATTCACGCACTTTACTTACGGTACTACTGCTCACTTGACTCGATTATCTGTCTGTATATCTCCCTGACTGCAATTCTCCCTCCACTTTATTTGCTGGCTTATATACTAAACTAGAGGGTGCATAGAAAAGACTAGAGTTGCCAGGAAGAGTCATGATCCTTCTAGAAACTCATCACGTGTTACCAGAGTCATGTGACTTCCGCTGTCATAACACCTGGATTATCGAGATTAAATTTGTAAAGTAAAACTAACCACGATTTTCTTGGTTTTTCCGATGATCTGCAATTAAAAACTGTTTTAAAAATAAACAACGAGTAACTTAAATATTTATTAACTGAAATGTAACCCACAGTGGCACAGTGGTATGCCTGCGGACTTACAACGCTAGAATCCGGGTTTTGATACTCGTGGTTGGCAGAGAACAGATAACCCGTTGTACAGCTTTGTGTTTAATTACAAACAAACAAACTGAATTGTACTTTGTGTTCATGTTGTTTGTTAATGAATATCGTGTACAAAGTTTGCTATGTATTAATGTCATTATTGACAAAAGTTCATAAATAGTCTAGAAACTTAAATGTTAGAATGCAAGCCTCACTTCTTATATTAATGTCATATAGGTTTGTGTAGTTTTTCATTGGCTTCTTGTGTTTGTTTATAATAACGACTTATTGACCTTTAACATATGTTAATTACTTAATTAGGTGCGAAAAGGGTTACACCGGCAGTCGATGTGAGGAAATAGACAGATTTCTATCTGGTGAGTTGATTCCTCATCTGTGTCTTCTGTAAATATGTGACATAATGTGAAAGTCTTTTTTTTTTATTATTGTTCCCATGTGAAAATATTTGAATTACTTTAAATCACCATTTTCTTTCTCTATTTTACTTTACACAAATGTCTATGAGAAATAAGGCACTACCAAAATTGTATATATCTTCTTCGTGATTGGCTCCTAGTTGTACACTAGGTTTTGACTTTTACTGCTCTTTAAAGATGTGAACTAGTCGATGGTTAATTCTTTACAAAGAACAATAAAAAACATCACTTTTAATAAAACAACTAATCTTGAAATATACAGTAAGTTTTTAATCAAAATGTTAATATTTAATAATGATATCTATTTACATAGCGTATCATTTGCATTACTAGCTGACTTGAGCATAATAAAATTTCTAATTTAACTGAAATTTTGATTGTTTATTACAGTAGCTTTAAATAGTTCAGATTAAACTAAATGTTCACATCTACACGATACAGTCTTAAAAACAATGATTTTTATCACTGACCTCGATTAGAGCAGTTTTAGCAATCAGTCAAAACATTTACAAGTTAAAGCGTTTATTAAAACATGCACAAAGTGGTAATCAAATCAGTTAAAATGTTCAGTGTGTTTTACTGATGTTAACAAAACGTTGAAAGCCTCACCATCCATGACGATTATAGAGTATGATATAACACATCAAAATGCAACAGATCACTATAGCAAGTCACAGCTAACTGCTACAGCAAGACACAACTGATTACATCAAGTCACAACTAACTGCTACAGCAAAATGAAACAGATTACTACAGCAAGCCACAACTAACTACTACAGTAAAACACAACTGATTACTACAATAAGTCAAAGCTGATACAGCAAGCCACAACTAACTACTACAGTAAAACACAACTGATTACTACAACAAGTCAAAGTTTATACATCAAGTTACAGCTAACTGCAACAGTAAAACACAAGATATTACAACAAATCAAAGCTGATACATCAAGTCACAGTTAACCAGTACAGCAAGACACAACTTACTACAACAAGTCACAGTTGATACATCAAGACACAACTGATTACTACAACTCAAAGCTGATACATCAAGTCACAACTAACTATTACAGCAAGACACAACTGATTACTACAAGTCAAGGCTGATACATCAAGTCACAGCAAACTGCTACAGCAAGCTACAACTGATTACTACAATAAGTCAAAGCTAATACATTAGTCACAGCTAACTGCTACAGCAAGACACAACTGATTACTATAACAAGTCAAAGCTAATACATCAAGTCACAGCTAACTACTACAGTAAGATACAACTGATTACTACAATAAGTCAAAGCTGATACAGCAAGTCACAGCTAACTACTACAGTAAAACACAACTGATTAATACAACAAGTTAAAGCTGATACAGCAAGTCACAGCTAACTACTACAGTAAAACACAACTGATTACTACAACAAGTTAAAGCTGATACATCAAGTCACAGCTAACTGCAACAGTAAGATACAAGATATTACAACAAATCAAAGCTGATACAGCAAGCCACAACAAACTACTACAGTAAAACACAACTGATTACTACAAGTCAAAGCTGATTCATCAAGTCACAACTAACCACTACAGCCAGACACAACTGATTACTACAACAAGTCAAAGCTGATACAGCAAGTCACAGCTAACTGCAACGGTAAGACGCAAGATATTACAACAAATAAAAGCTGATACATCAAGTCACAACAAACTACTACAGTAAAACACAACTGATTACTACAACAAGTCAAAGCTGATACATCAAGTCACAGCTAACTGCAACGGTAAGACGCAAGATATTACAACAAATAAAAGCTGATACATCAGTCACAGCTAACCAATACAGCAAGACACAACTGATTACTACAAGAAGTCAAAGCTGATTCATCAAGTCACAACTAACTACTACAACAAGTCAAAGCTGATACATCAAGCCACAAGTGACTGATGTATCAGCTTTGACATATTGTAGTAATCAGTTGTGTTTTGCTGTAGCAGTTAGCAGTGACTGATGTATCAGCTTTGACATATTGTAGTAATCAGTTGTGTCTTGCTGTAGCAGTGACTGATGTATCAGCTTTGACTTACTGTAGTAATCAGTTGTGTCTTGCTGTAGCAGTTAGCAGTGACTGATGTATCAGCTTTGACATATTGTAGTAATCAGTTGTGTTTTGCTGTAGCAGTTAGCAGTGACTGATGTATCAGCTTTGACATATTGTAGTAATCAGTTGTGTCTTGCTGTAGCAGTGACTGATGTATCAGCTTTGACTTACTGTAGTAATCAGTTGTGTCTTGCTGTAGCAGTTAGCGCTAACTGCTACAGCAAGACAACTGATTACTATAATAAGTCAAAGCTGATACATCAGTCACTGCTACAGCAAGACACAACTGATTATGATATTAAGTCACAGTTGCATATAAGTGAGTGTCTTTAAATGATGTTTAGAAGTAAGAACTTTTATTTGATTAGCTTGAGTTTAATAGACAAATTTTTGAATCATCGACTATACATATATTATTTCTTTACAGCTACTATAAGAAAAACGACACTAGTAGGAATTGTTCTTGGTGTAATTCTTCTGCAGTGTATTATTGGAACATCGATTATTGTTTTCAAGTAAGTCATTAAAGAGGATAGCTGATTTTAACCATAGAGAAAGAGATGAAATGATAACATGAGTTAAAAATTAAACAGCAGAAGATTCTGCAAATAACTGCTCATTCACTTCTCATGCCTCCATTATGTAACTTTGCAAGTGCTCTTCAACATTGACAGTCACACATTCAGTTAATGAGAAAACCTATTGACTAATGACCTTGTAGATTCATATTCTCTTCAACACTGACAGTTACACATTCAGTTAATGACAAAACCTATCGACTAATGACTCTGTAGGTTCATATTCTCTTCAACATTGACAGTTACACATTCAGTTAATGACAAAACCTATCGACTAATGACCCTGTAGATTCATATTCTCTTCAACATTGACAGTTACACATTCAGTTAATGACAAAACCTATCGACTAATGACCCTGTAGATTCATATTCTCTTCAACATTGACAGTTAATGACAAAACCTATCGACTAATGACCCTGTAGGTTCATATTCTCTTCAACATTGACAGTTACACATTCAGTTAATGACAAAACCTATCAACTAATGACCCTGTAGATTCATATTCTTTTCAACATTGACAGTTATTCAGTTAATGACAAAACCTATCGACTAATGACCCTGTGGATTCATATTCTCTTCAACGTTCACAGTTACACATTCAGTTAATGACAAAACCTAATTGATTAATGACCCTGTCTAATAATTGATACATTCTTGTTTTTCTTCATATCTCTCAGTTCATTAAAAGGAGATTCAAAATTATAGAAAAAATATCTGATTCAACAGGTGGAAAACAAAATTTTATAATAAATATTAAAAACACGGTAATATACCAAAATTCATCTTTAATACGGACATTTCGAAATTTCCTTAAGTTCCATCATCAGTGTTAATATCCCAAAACAAAGTTAGTTCATAATATTCGAACTACAAAAAAAACAACATTAACATCAAGCGACTTTTCGTATTCAGTCTGAAGTTTGGATAGAACAGATTTAAACGGTAACGATATAATGTAATGTACAATAAAACGTGCCGCATACACGTTTAATAAATAACAATATTAAAAGAAACCATTATAGAGAAAGGCTTGAATACAATATAAACACTCCCTAGAATTATCAATGGACTTTTCTCTACGTTAAAATACTGTTACGTCTCAGGTCG